CCCTTCTACGAAGCTAGCTATTTAACTTAAGCCAAGTCCCTCGGAACTTTGGTTCCTTCTTCATCATAAAAAAGGGGGTAGGGAAAAAGGGGAGTACGTTTAGATGAAGGATTTACTTGCGTAGGAAGGGCATCAGGAGGTCAATGAATCCCTAGAAGTTCTAGACAAAGTTCAACGTATATGTGTCTTTTTCTGAGGAGTGGTTTCGTGGTTTTCATTAGATTCTCAGTGGGGACTGCGATTCTAAATTTTAAGAACCTTTGATTTTTAGATAGTCTCTTAGCTTTGCCCTAGTTCTGACAATCTTTGACTCCATCTTTTAAAAATGTCTGTCTAGTTCATTACCATTAGGTACATTCATGAAATATACTCCACTCATGTGTACACTGCCCAGCTAAGTATAAGACAAAAATAGGATGAGACAAGACATGAGCCTACTGGGAAAGTATCATTATTATGACCATCATCATTAATGTGGGAAGATGAAGGCAAGGCATAGAATCCTACTGAGACCTGTCACTGAACTACAGACCAATGTACTGTGCAATCAAGCCTTCCTCAAACTCATTTTCTTAGAAATAAAGTTCCTTCCCCACCCTGGCAGAAATTTCAATGAAGAAGTTTATTGTGAATAACAAAATAAGTTTGTGTAACAAATACATTTTCTGGACCCTGTCCGTGTAATGTTCTGTGCATAATTTTTTTAATGGTACTGGTCCTATTTGCATTAATGGACAGGAAAACACAAAAGCAAGTTGAGTTAAAACTGGGCTCCTCACGGGGCATCTGAGTGGCACAGTCAGTTAAGCATCCAGTTCTTGGTGTGGGCTCAGGTTGACATCTCAGGGTCATGAGATCGAACCCTGCATCAGGCTCCATGCTCAGCACAGAGTCTGCTTTTGGTTCTCTCTCCTTCCCACTTGTGCTCTCTCTCAAATAAAAAAATAAATCTTAAAAAAAAAAAATGACACAATTGTGTCATTCCACAGAGTAATAATCCTCCCCATTTTTCACCTCTCTTGAACTTAAGTGTTTCAGATGTTTCAAAAACCCGATTATCTTAACAAATGGTCCCCAGCTTTGAGTCTCTGCAAGGTACGGAAAGGGGAACACAGTTGAATGGGACAGCACCCAGTCTGCATAGAGCTTAGGCTCTTACTAGAGCCTGAGATGAGCATTTAGATCACCATCACGCAAAAACCACGTAACAGAAAGGCTACTGTGATTCTAAAGAAGAAAAGCCTATCTTGGTCGGGGGAAATTGTGGATGGGCCCGTGAAGGAAGTGGTCTTTGAGAGGAGATCTGGAGGGGGAACGGAATTTTGATCTGCAGGAGCAGAGAGCACGAGTACATCTTTGCTGGAGGGATTATCATAAACAAAAGCATAGAAACAGAAAGAAGCATGAGGCCTGTTTAGGGCACAGGAAAGCAGCCCGATTCCCTGCAGAGCCTCCTGGGGTGGGACGAAAGGAGGTGTGATTGACACCGCGTGTAACATCTTTAACCTGAGAATGAAGTGTTTGTACTCGGTATTATAAGCAATGAAGATTTCCAAAGGTTTTTGAAGGAAGGGACTAACGTCATAGAATTATAGAATTTTTGAATTAAAGAACTCCTTACCTCTGCTTTAGGGACAAGAGAGTCAGAACAAGAACGCAGAAAGTTTGCCTGTTTCCTAAGTCCCAATTGTTTGCCTTAATACCAGCTGCCTCACCAGGTCATGCTGGTAGCAGTGTGTAGGGTAGAGAAAAGAGCTCAGGCAGGAGACCAATATGGCAGCCATTATGGGAGTCCAAGTGAGAATTTAAGGTGGAATAATGAGGACCTGAGCATGGGCGGTGGGGGGATGGTCAGAGGAGGGGGAGCCCATGAAGTATCCCTTCTCTCTCCTCCGTGGAGCTCGGAACATTACTTGTACATTCACATTAGAGAGGTGTGGCAGGTCCAGAAAACATGAAGTCAACTGGTCCACCCTTGCAAAAAAGAGGCCAGAAATCATTCCAGCAATTATCTTAAGCAGCCTGGAGCTATTCCTTTAAGGGACCAGTAGACGATTTTAGGATTCAGGCAACTCTGAGGGTTTTCTTTCTGGCTTTGCTAGAGGGCCAGGCATACCGCAGCTCAAAAGCCCTTAGCAAATAAGGTTCATCCAGCCCACGGAGTGACTCCCTAAGGGGCTTCTTAGCCACAAGGGAATGTCTGGCATAGAGGGGTCCCCCTCAGGGGCCGATCTCTGGATCACCAGCATCACCTCAGGTCTCCTGCCTTGTCCCTCGTCCGTACCCTTCAGCTCATCAACTCTGACTTTCTACCTGAACCGGGATGTCAGGAGTCTGAGTGTGTCTGACAAAGAACACAGACGTGGCAAAAGCTGAACAGTAGGTGTGAATGGCAAACATCCAGTTGTGCAGAACGCGAAGTCTGGAGTCTACTTTTTCTCCTCCACATGGCCTTCTGTTGGCACTAATTTTATAAGGACAGAACCAACAAAGGAATCATGAGAGGCAGCCTCTATGATAAAGAGACCATCAGCCCAACAGATTGTTTTCTCACCAAAGGAACGGTCACACGTCATCAGCACTCAGTAAAGAAGGGACCATGAATCAATAACATCTTTTGATGCCTGTCTTGTCAGTTCCTCTTTCTCATGAACTAAGATGACTGTGATCAAGGCCAGTCACTTGGTTGCAAATGACTGTGCAGGACGAATGTCACTTTTCACTTTCCACCATCAACTGTGCCCTGTTGGGGCTGGTAGAGAGCCGGGGTTCGAACACACTTAGCTTAGTTTTCCATCCCTTCCGCACACCCTTCCTCCCCCAGTCCCCTCCTTGAGGTCAGGTTCACCCTGACATCTCACCCTTCAGGAAGAGGGCTAAACCGGATTTCCCAGCAAAGAACAACTTTGGTAAGCCCTTCTCCAGTGACAGAAGGCTGTGTAGACAGGGCGGTTTAGCGAGCACTCTCTCAAGGCAAACAACCTACATTCAAATCCTATCTCTGTTAATTACGAGGTAGCCTCGAGCAAGTTATCTGACCTATTTACACCTTGATTTCTTCAGCTGTAAAACAGGGAAAATAACAGCGGGTAGCCCATAGGATTGGCGTGAAGGGTAAATGAGTTAACAAGATAGTTACTCTCAAGGGCTCCGCCTAAGTACTTAAAGAATTCCAGCTGTTTTTAATAAGGGGGATCTGATGTTTGAGCCTAGTGAACATCTGGTGATCCACAGCTTAGGGGCAGAGGCCGGTAAGGGTGACAAAGGTGCCATCCAACTGTGCCAGTTGTGCACAGGAGAAGGATTGCCAATACTTGGCCGGTATCTGAAGGAGCTGAGAAGCTACTGGCCTCTCACCTGCCCCACTTGAGCCAACCATATAGGCTAATGCACCTTTTTTATTTCTCTACCTCGGTGATTACCGATCTGAGGTGGCCTAGAAGGACATGCTTGTGGCAGGTTATAGGTTTAAAAACAAAGGAGAGAGAGAGGGGGGCACCTGTGTGGCTGAGTGGGTTAAAGCCTCTGCCTTCGGCTCAGGTCACCATCCCAGGGTCCTGGAATGGGGCCCTGCATCGGGCTCTCTGCTCAGCAGGAGCCTGCTTCCCTTCCTCCCTCCCTGCCTGCCTCTCTGCCTACTTGTGATCTCTGTCAAATAAATAAATAAAATCTTTTTAAAAAGAGAGAGAGAGAGCTCTAGAAATCCACACCAGGGAGGCTTTTACGTGCTTCTTCACTTTGGTGTGGGGGTTTTCTAGGCATCAGGCCCTGCCACACCCCCTGGTGTTTCAGGCTGTCAGAGTGACAAGGGATTTAGGAACCGTTTAATTTGCTTGCTTTGAAGCTAAGGAAACCAAAGCCCCGGGTAGTGAGTTGTCCAAGATCACCCAGCTGGTCAGCTCAAAACCAGGACTAGCTCTCAGGAGGTCTGATGTCCTGCATCGTGCTCACTCTACAACACCCAACTGGCTCTTTGGTCTTCTGAACCCTGGCTAACTTTTCATCCTGTCCCCAGGGAGCTCCCCACACATCCCTGGTGCATATCATGGCTTTTCTTCCGCTCTCCTGCCTGCCTTCCCTGCCCCTGCCACCTCAGACACTACTGGTCTTCCTGCCTGCTCTTGTCCACACACATCCTTGATGCTACTGTCCTGCCCGGTCCTGCAAACCTTCCTGCTTCCAGTCCAAGTGAGAATGTGCCCCAGGGCCTCTGGGCTTTCAGGAGTCCCCCCTGGGTGACACCCAGCTGGACATCCCGAGAGCTCTTCTCTTTGCCCCAGAGCCTGCTTCTCTCTGTCCTTCCATTCCACTCCATTTTCCTTCTGTCTTCCTGACACTCCGCTGCTCAATCTCCCTCAGTCTTGCGCTTCTGCTTCATATCCCCCGTTTTCCTCTTTTCTCCCGAGCTCCCAGCCCCTTCGGCTTCTCCCTCCTCTTGCCCTCCCTGGGTCGTTTTCCCTGCTCCCGGTCCTGCCTGCGCTCTGGCCTTTTCCCCGTCCACCTTTCCGTCTCCTCCGTCTCTTCCTCGATTCCCTCGCGCCTCCGCTCCAACACATCTGTTTCTAATCTGAGCCCTCGAGGCGCCTGTTTGAAACAAAAAACTCCCCCCACCCTCAGGAACCTGGCACAAAAATTCCTGAAGAAACCTTCCTCCCTTCCCCAATTCTCCCGCCCCCCCCACCCCGCCCCGCGCAAGACTCCCGAAACTAAACACCAGCCGCCCGCCCGCCCCCCAACCCCCAACCCTCCACCTCGGACAGTTCACGGCCAAACTCCACCAGGAAACACCCCCGGCCCCAGCTCGCTCCCGGGCCCAGATGTGTGAGGCATTTTCGATGGCCGACTGGGCGGGCCTGGGCTGCCAGATGTGCGCCTCCGGAGCGCCGAGCGGGCGCCGAGCCGCGCGCTCTCCCCGGGGGCTGCGGGGACCCGCGTTCGGAGCCCGGGGCTGGCGTGCGCGGGGGCCGCCCGGCGGGTCTCCCGCGCTGCCGAGCACTCACCTAGCCAGAGGAGGACGCGGAGGAGGCTCATCCCGATGCCCGGGCGCGGGCGCTTCCCCGCTCAGGCGCTGCAGGGCTCCGGGGCGGCCGGGCGCAGCAGACGGACCTTGGACGAGCTGGGCGCGGCGCCTCGGGGTGCGCGCGGGGCGGCTGCGGCCATGTGCCGGCGCGGGAGCCCGCCCCGCGCCCCGTCCCCGCGCCCGGTCCCCGCAACCCCCCTGGCGCAGAGGGGCTTCCAGCGCTCGCCCGGACGGGAGCGGGGACCAGGGTCGCGAAGGGAAGGGCCAGGCGGAAAGACGCTACCGCTTCGCGGAACACTTTTCCCTGTTTGGAAAGAAAAAGAAGTGAAGAAAGAGGTGGGGGGGGGGAAGAGTGAGCTGGAACCACATGGTCGCCTCCCACCCGCAGCCCCTCCCTCGCCCTCCCCCCGCGCCCCCGCCCGCGCCCGCGCCCGCCCTCGCCCTCGCAGCTCGGGGCCCGCGGGCCGGGCCGCACCGGCTGGAGCGGAGGAGCCGCGGCACCGCGGCCACGAGCGGAGGGCCGAGGCCTTGCCGGGCTTCAACGTCTCGGTTCCCACTTTGTCCCTCTCTCCACTTCTTTCCTGCATCTCCTTTTTCTACCCACCCCACTCCAATTCTCTCACGAATCTGCTCTTCTTCCTGCCCCCTTCTTCTCTCTCCCCCCATTTCTATCCCATTTACATTCTCTGGGCTCCCCTCTCTCACCTCGTCCCTCCTCTCCCTTCTTCCCTCGCTGCTTCTCTCCTCTCCTCTGCGCTCTCTGTCTGGTTTTGTCACAGGAAACCACAGGCTGACCAGAAGGACGATTAGGCGTGGAAGGGACAGCGGAGACAGCCTAGCAGCCGTCCGCTTGTTGCTCTCCTGGCTTCCCTGCCTGTTTTGGCATCCCAGCCACCGTGCGCCCGGCCTTCCCTTGGCCTTTCGCACCCGCTCTTTCTCCTTCTGCTGTCAGGAGTTACGGCGGCCCATCCTCGGATCCGGACCCGGGCAGAGCTAAGCTAGCCTTCCCCACCAGGCCCCCCCCCCCCGCGTCCCCCGCCCGGGAGTGGGGCCCCGGAACTCAGGGGAACCCGTCCGCTAGGAAGCACTGGGGCGAGGTGCGCTGCGCGAGATGCTGGCCAAAACATGCATCACTCCCTTTCAGAAGGAAAAGGCGTGGAATTCCCTCTGCATGGAAGGGCCGCGCTCTGGGGCTCCAGGGACCTGGCCTCTAGGCCCTCCAGGGACCTAAGGCCAAGGCAAGGGGGGCTCCGTGCACTCCGGGTTGGGACTCTCCCGTTGAGCAGCAGTGGCCGTGCGCAGGTCTCCACGGCCCAGGGCTCCTGCGGGGCACACCTATCCTGGACTCTGAGAAACGCTGGTCGCCTGCGCTCTCTGGTTCCCAGACTCTGGATGTCCCTGGCGCTGTGGCTTTTCCTTCAGCCACACTGAGGCGGGAGGAACGACTCCCCTTCAGCCTCACCTGTGTCTATAAACCAGTTGGCAGCTGGGACCAGCGCTCTGAGAAGTGGGGATGCTATAGGAGAGAGGAACCCTACAGGCCTGGCCAGCTGCCGGATCACAGATTTGCCCCAATTTTTCCAGTCCTCTTTCTAAGGGTGTTCGATCCCAGGAGCTGTATGGCCCTCTCTAGTCTTTCTGGTTTTGATGAAAACCAACCCATCTCATAGATGGGGAAAATAGAGGTATGGGACCCTCACAAGGTCACTCAGAAGGGATGGCAAAAGCAGGGGCTTTTGTAGGAGCTTTGGGATCAGCTGTAAGTTGTTTTAGAATTCTAACATTTGTTTATTCATTCCATCCTCCCTTCTTTAATACATATTCATTATGCATCTACTCTTAGCCAGGTGTTTTTATTTTGTTTTGTTTTGTTTTTGTTTTTTGGGTTTTTTTTTTAAGGTGGTGAACACACAAAGTGAATGGAGCTTGGTTATTGACATTTTTTTGAAATTTGGAACTAATTTGTTGGGGCACCAACTACAGACTAGGAATTATATTAATTATTTAACATTTATCTTTGCTTTTATAATAATGCTAAGGTATAGACCTTTTTAATTCCATTTTAAAGATGAGGAAGCCATAACCTAAAGAAATTAGTATCTTGTCACAGGTCACAAAATAGTAAACCCCCCCCCCTCCTTCAAGGCACCCCTGTGGCTCAGTAGGTTAAGCGTCTGCTTTCAGATCAGGTCATGATCCCAGGGTCCTGGGATGGAGCCCCTAGTCTGGCTCCCTGCTCTGTGGGGAGTCTGCTTCTCCCTATCCGTCAACCAGCAAGTGCTTTCTTTCTCGATCCTTCTCTCTCTCTCTCAAATAAATAAAAAATTTAAAAACCCTCTCTTCTATTAATATTCTAATTTAATATTCTAAAATACTCTTTTTTATGTTATAAAAGGTTTTAAAGCTCTGAGTATTTTCATTTTCCATTTTACAACTTCTCGTCTAATAGCAGATATTGAAATATTCACAACTATAATTCATATGTGAATGTGTTGAAAAATGTTTATTCTTCTTAAAGGCTGAGGAAGGTGGGAGGGAAAATATATAGAGAAGGTGACTTTTTCTTATTTCTGCTTTAAAATTTTATTAAGTACTTTGAGTAATTTCAGACTCACAGAAAAGTTGCAAAAATAGTACAAAGAGTTCTTGGATACTCTTAGCCCAGACACCTCCTTTTTTTTCCTTTCTAAAGGAGGTATTTTGCAAAAGTTTTAAAGCCCCATCTTTAATCTCCCAAGCACTGTGGCCTTTCTCCTGAACTGCGTGACACCATTTATTGCTGGAGGGCTGGTGTGCATAGGAGGGCAGATGTCTGTGGGTGTAAGCAGGCATGCGTTTAAACCAAATTGCTCAAGCAGAAGGTAACAAGACTTCACTCCAAGTCATTAGTCATCAGCATAGGAAGTGAGTTGACTAGGCTGAGATTGGGTCATAAACCCTTGGTTTTCCCAGGTCCAGAGTCTTAAAACCAGTAGATAGTTGGCCTGTGTTCCTTGGAAAGGGTCTTTGCATCCCTGAAGATGACTGTCCCTCTCTCTGAAGCCTCTTTTCTATTATCCTGCATCTGTGGGCCCAAAGAGGAGAGTGCCTTGGGAGGGCTCATTACTCAGCAGCTTGTTGCCTACCTACACTATGTCCCACACTGACCGGGCTGGGTGCCATGGGAATCCAAAGAGGTATGCGGCAGTCCTTACCCTAAATGGACCTCTCTGTCCAGTGGGAGAGAAAACGTCAACACGCGAAATGTTTCAACAACAATACAAGAAAGTTATGTAGTTAAAGTGCCTGAGTAAATTACCAGTAAGCCCCAGTAAGTAAGAAACACTGTGAATTCTCAGGAAGGAGGGAGCACTGTAGGCTGGGTGGTTGTGACGTTTCCTTGAGAGAATGAGGCTTCAGTCCAGCCTTGGGGGCTGAATAGAATTTCATTAGGTGAGAGGACCTGGTGGGCATTTCTGGACAATGACGTAGAAGTAGGGATAGTTTGGTGTATTCAGGGAGCATTGAATGAAATGAAAAATTGGTGTTGGGGAAAAATGCCCTGGGACAGTTAGCCTGAGGGAAAAATGGTGGAGTCCTAAATGTGAGGTAGAAGATTCTGGAAACTATTCTGCAGCTTCTCCAGACTCCTAGAAAAAATTTTTAGCAGAGGGGCCTTTGATGAGAACCATATTTTAGGAGATATAAATTGGTAGCTTTTGCCCAGAGATGACCCCAATGTTTGGCCAAGGATGGAGGGTTTTAGCACCCCTTTCATAACCATCAGAGGATGGAGGGTTTTAGCACTCCTTTTCATATCCATCAGACTCCCTCCCCCCATGCTTTAATGATGGCAATTAACATTCTCTCAATATTTTCCTTTTTTTTTTTTAGATTTTATTTATTTATTTGAGAGAGAAAGAGAGCACACACGAGCAAGCAAGGAGGGGGTGAGGAGGAAAAAGCAGACTCCCTGCTGAGCAGGGAGCCCGAAGCGGGGCTCCATCCCAGGACCCTGGGATCCTAACCTGTGCTGAGGACAGGTGCTTAACCGACTGAGCCACCCAGGTGCCCCTCAATGTTTTCTAAAATAATATGCACATGTAGCTTCAAGACAAGTGCCTTTTCCTGCTCCCCCACTCTATAGGGAGCCAAGATCGCCACCCTACACCTCTTTTTATAGGAATTTTAGAACCACCACAGGGTGCAGTAAACATTAAACAAAAAACGTGAAGCAGAGGAACTGGTTAGAACCTGTTGCACCACATGGGGAGAAGATGTGAGGGTGGTGAAAGGAACATGGGAGATATTTGGAAAAAGATTGCATAGTTCATAGCTGACGGTCATTGCGGGTCATTGCGGGTAGGAGAGGAGGTGGAAGACAAAAGACGCACCAAAGATAACTATAAGTGATGTCATATATTTCTGTATATGCTAAATTAATAATATTTGTTCATTGACCTAGTATATTTCAGGGCTTAGAAACATCATCCATAAGCCTCATAATACCACATTACAATGAGGAAACAGGTTTAGGGATAGTAAATCAATTGCTTATTGTTCCATGGTTAGTAAGTGTCGGAGTCAGAGATTGAAATCCCTTATGCCTCACTATCTTTTGTTTTTAAAGATTTTTATTTATTATTTATTTGAGAGAGAGAGAGCTCAAGCAGGGGGAGCTGCAGAGAAGCAGACTGCCTGCTGAGCAGGGAGCCAGCCGTGAGGCTCCATCCCAGGACCCTGAGATCATGACCTGAGCCCAAGGCAGACGCTGAACTCTCTGAGCCACCCAGGCGCTCCCTTCACTATCTTTTGATGGCACTACTAACAAACTAGGTAAGTTAAGTAAGTTAACTTGTCAGGAAGGGAAAGATACATTTGAGACCTGGTAACTTTAAGGGGTTGGGAGACCATCATTTCTCTATCTACCCATCCACTCATCCATTTGCTTTTTCTATTTTTTCTCTCAATCAAGAACTCAGGAGGCCACCTGGGCGGCTCAGTCGGTTAAGTGGTTAAGTGGCTGCCTTTGGCTCCGATCTGATCTCTGGGTCCTGGGAAGGAGCCCCTGGGTTGGGCTCCCTGCTCAGCGGGGAGTCTGCTTCTCTCTCTGCATCTGCCCCTTCCCCGGCTCATGCTCACTTCTCTCTCTCTCTCTCTCAAATAAATAAAAACTTAAAAAAAAATTTTCAGTAAATCTTTGTTAGGTACCTACTATGTGCCGAGCACAGGCAAAGATGTCCTTGCCCTCCAGATGTTTGTGGTGAGTTAAGGAAGTTGGAGAACAAAGAATCAGTCAGGCAGAGCAGTTCATGGGCAAGTTCATGGGGCTGATAGCAGGATTCTGTCCCTAGTGTAGATGATGTCAAGGAAGACCTCCCAGGGGAAGTCCTATAAGCAGAGGGGAGGGGGGCACCATGAGGAAGAGGGATATCTGTGCTGCTGCCTTGTCTCACAGGACGACTGGGGACCAGGGACCACACATCTTTCGGTCCCTTCAAGCTCCAGCATCCACTTGTGCCCACTTGTCTCGGATGAAGATACAGGCTCGGGACAGCATTTAGAAGAAGGCAGCTGTGGCATAATTGCTGTTTGCTGGGCTAGGAGGCAGAAAGTTTTGGTTCTTAGTGGCTTTGAGTAGGTCACCTGACTTCGGCAAGCCTTCCTTTCCCCTTTTCCTAACACTGTTCTGAGGGAGAAATGAGAGAACGAAGAAAGCGCCTTCCACAAGTGTGGTAGATGTTCCAACAAAATCAGTTGAGTTCATAGGATTCCATTCCCTGGAGTAAGGAGCCAACTTCTATCTCATTTCCTTTTTCTACTAAAACAAGGTTCTCTTTCTAAGCTCTTTCCTGTCTCACAAG